ACAGACTAGTGTTGGCTAACACATTATGAGACTCCAACTATATTGATAGTCAAACATTAGTGTTGGTTAACACACATATTTCTTGTTCTTTCATGTAATCTCCTGCTGCGTACTGTACAATATATTTATTTATTTCTTTATTTTAATTTTCTTACGACTTCCAACACATGGCTCTATCAAAGATTTCAGCAACTTTCATAATATTTCCCACAGCATACTCTATATCATAAGTAGCTCCATCATTGGATCTGTAATTACGATCCTACGACTTCTTAATATATCCCACAGTTATCTATAAATCTCTCTATACTCTATACAGTATTCCACAGTTATCTTCATCTTCAGATCTGTAAACGCATTGAGCAGCTTTCACAGCATTTCCCATAGAAATCTCCATACAGTATTCCATTGGTATTTCCATCATCAGATCTGAAATTCCCACCCACCTCAATCAAGATTTGAAAGCACATTTTTTTACGTTTTTGATTTCGAAGCAGAACATTTATTTTTACATTTTTGCTTTTTGTTTTGTTTAATTTTTTGTTTGATTTTTTTTTTTAGTTTTTTTTTTAATGTTTTTTTTTTTTATAATTTTGTTTGATTTTTAAAGAAAATATTATGCCATTTATTGACTTTTGATGTATAATTATATAAATTCATATACATATATATATATGAATATATATATATTCGGAAAAAAACATATATTTTGTAGTTAGTTTTTAAGTTTATATTTAATATTAGCTGCTTAAAAATATCGAAAAAAATTGTGTTTTTAAATAAAATTTAAAATTTTTGCGTTCGTTTTTTGACATTTTTGTTGGTGTTTTTTTTTTTTGTTGTAATATATATTTTTTAAGTAGCATAATAAATTACATATGACAAATATTAAAAACATTTCGTTTACTTAGAAAGCATTAAAACAGTTAGCTGTGTGTGTGTGTGTGTGTGTGTGTGTGTGTGTGTGTCTGTGTGTATGTGTGAGTGTAGCGGTCGTTGTTTTGGCTTTTGAGTTTGATCTGATTCTATTTTCGTGTGCCTCTCTTTTGTGCTTTAGATATTAAAAAAAAAAATGTATATATATAATAAAAATAATGATAATGATAAAAATAAAATAAAACAAAAATATAATATAATTAAGTTTTATAAGTCATTTTAACAATTGCATTTTTCATTTTTTTTTTCTATAACAAGTTAAACAAAAATAAAAACAAATATATTTGTAGACAAAAAGTAAATAGTTAATGGTCAAAAAAATTTTTTTTTTGTATATATATGTATATATATATTTATAGATATTAATTTAATTACAAATTACAAATTGCTTGCTCTGAACTTAATTATTATACACATATACATATAGTTCGTATATATATATACGTATTATATAACTGAATAATGTGAAATATTAATTTGCATATATTTTTGCACTAGTCAAAAATATATAAATAATACTTGTTTACTTTTCAAATTTTGTTGTTGTAGTTGTTGTTGTTTTTAGCACAGTTTATGGGAGTTTTATTTATTTATTTTTATATATTTCATTTGTTGTTGTTGTTGTTGGATAGAACAATCTATATACACGCACATACCATATATATAATTTATAATATATTTTCTTTTCGCATTTTGTTTTTTTAGTTACTTTAATGAGTTCAACGTGTCTGAAGCTGAAGTTTTTTGCGCTCGTTTTTTTTTAAGTTTTAATATTTTGTTTTGTTTTTAACATTTATATATATATATTTTCGTTTGTATATATGTTTTATATAACGATTTACAGGTACTTCGTAGCGCATTTTGTTGTTTTGCTCTGCCCAACAGCAAATTGTAAAACTAAAACTAAAGCTAAAATGAGAGAGAGAGAGAGAGATAGAGCGAGAGAGAGAAAGTGTAGAGAAAGAATGGAAGTGTGGGTGGGAAGGTGTTTGATGCGCCACTACTAGCCAAAATAATGAATGAGAGAGACAAAGAGATATTGAGAGGGAGAGAGAGAGAGAGAGAGAGGGAGAGAGATATGGTTAGAAAGAGAGAGAGAGAGAGAGAGAGAGAGAGAGAGAACGAGTGAAGTGTTGAAGCCTGTTCTTGCTTGCAGGTAAAACGAGAATTTGAATATAAAGTGATTAAGGCGCCACGAGAGTGACAGAGAGAGGGGATATGCAATTAGAAAGAGAGAGTCGAATTATGCTGGAACTGTTGCTGTCTCCATGCTAGAGGAGAATATGAGGATGAGACATTCGCTCTCTGCTCTACATGTATTCACATGTAGCTTGGAAAGGGAGAGGGGCTATGGGGGTAATAATTAGAAAGAAAGAGCGAGAAAGACTGTACCAAGGTCTGTGAGGTGGAGTGCAGCAAATGAGAGCGAGCGAGAGAGAAGACATGCAAGCAAGGCTGTTCAGACTGAACGTCTAAGTGAGTCAGAGCGAGTAGGAGAGAGAGACAGAGAGAGAGAGCGAGAGATTGAGAGAGAGAGAGAGAGAGAGAGGGAGACAGAGAGTGTTAAGTGTTGCTAGAAATTTGCAGATGATGTTCGTTTTCGTTTCATTCGTTTTCATGATGGATGATTGATTGATTATTTAAATTTGTAACTTTTCTTGAAATTGCGGCACAAAAAACTTGCAGCTTGAGACACATGCAAAAGTTAACACATTTCTGTGTGAGAGGTATTTCTCTTAGTTTGTTTTTCATATCTTTGTTGCGGTACATATATATATATATATATATTTATTTATTTATTTTCGCTTTTTTTTTGCCAAATTGTGAACATTCTGATTAAATATTTAACATTTAAAGGGCGAACAAATAAAATTAAATAAATTACACACAAATTTGACCTGAGCTCTTTGATTTTTCTTCGATTTCTATACTCATTCACGTAAGTTAAATGAGTATATTGGTTTTTTGTTTTCATTTTTTTGACTTGTTTGTTTTTTCTTTTCTTTCTTTTTTTTTTGGAAGCTGCACGTATAATATCGTATGAATATAAATATATATACAGATTGTTGCTGAACTCTTTTGATACTCATTAGCGAAATTGAAATGAGTATATTCTTTTTTTTTTTTTTTGTATATCAAATTTTGTTTTCGATTTTTTTTTTTTTAGTTTTAAGCAAACAAATTCGTATTGCTGCAGATTACAGGGTATATATATATACATATATATTTTTTTAATTTTATGTATATATTTTATATGGTAGACATTGTATAACTACAAAAGCCGTGCTCCATTAAATGCTATATATATACATACATATATATATATAATTATCTTTCATTTCATTTGTTTCATAAATAGTTTGTAAATATTAAATCTTTAGTACAAATCGAGGCAATTCTTATTTTTGTTTTAAGTAAAAAAAAAAAAAGAAACATACATATTTATATATATATATTTTATATATAGAAATAAACGATTTGAAAAGCACTTGATGATCTCTTTCGGTTAATGTTTTAGGCCACTTTTTGGTGTTCACAGCTGTTCATACTTCGACTCTAGAATGCATAAACCTTGTTCTTTGTATTATTAATTTTTTATTCATTTTTTTTTTTTTTAATTTTACACACACATTTATATAAGGCTGTATATAGTTAGGTATATATATATGTATATATATGAGTTCTGTCAGCATTTTATCAAGCAACACACAAATATTTTTTAAATTTCTTTCCAAATTTTGTTTTGTAAATATTTTTGTCATTAAATTTAGTAAGGCGCTAGAGTTTTTATTTTTTTTATATTATTATTATTATTATTTTTTTTTTTGTATATATAAGAGCACATTTTAGTTTCGCAAAAACAATTAACAAACTTAAAAGCTACATTTTACTTTTTTTTTTTTTATATATATTATAAATTTAGTTTTACAGCAAATTCTGTTCAATTTTTTTTTTTTTTTTTTTTTTTTTTTTTTTTTTTTTTTTTGTAAGGCAACATCTTGCAAGCTTTTTTAAACAACTCACATTTAAAAAGAGAAGAAAAAGTTACACAAATTTGTTATTCATAATATTTTAGGTATTTGTTTTCTGTTTTAAATATATCACTGATTAAAAAAAAAAAAACATTAAATATCAAAGGTCATCATATCGCAATGGTTTTTAGGCTTAGCTTAAATGATTTTTTTTGTTTGTTTTTTTAATCTAAATATAAATTTTTAGTTTGCAGTGACGTGGTACGGGGGGGAGGGGGGCAGTTCAAGGGGCGGTGTGTATTATAGAAATTAAAATTAATAATTACTGATGCGGCTGTGACTGCCAACAAATTGCCTGTTGCACGGAATGTTATCGATAACACATCTACATACACATAATAATCTACACCAAACATATCGATATATCGAATTTAAGGTTATGTACAATCGCTTACGAGTCTAAACCAAAAAAAAAAAAAAAAAAAAAAAATTATTTGATTGATTATGAATATAATTATATAAGTAATATGTTTATATAGAACAGTTAGCAATTCAAGTTTAAAGTTGTTTTTGCTTTTAATGAGGTAGTCAAGCCAGACACACACACACACACACACACACACGCGCACACGCACACAGCAGAGGGCGTGACGTGTGTAGGCGGGGGCAGGAATTGCTTTATGATAAGAGTTGTATTCGAGCGGGTCAAGAGGCGTGGGGGGGCGGGGGCGGGGCCGAAAGCTGTAGCTGTTGTTGCTGATGTTGTTGTTGTTGCTGGAAGAACTTGGATATTTGGGTGTGTGCATGTGTGTGTGTGTGTGTGAGTGTGCATGTGTGTATGCATGTGTGTGCTGCATGTCTGCTGAGGCTCATGGGCGTGGCACACTCACACTCTCCCACACACACACGCACACACACACACACACACACACACACATACACACTTGCCAGCCATGCGTGTGTGTGCTGCTTCTAGCACCAATAGTCGACATGCGTCCAAGCCTGTTCCTGCTGCTGCAGCTCATCCTCCACTGCCTGCTGCTGCTGCTGCTGCTGCTGCTGCTGTTGCTGCTGCTGCTGGAGTAACTGTTGTTGTTGTTGCTCCCGCTGGTGCTGCTGCTGCTGCTCATCCAGCTGCAGCTCCTGATCGTACGCCAGCAACAGCTCATGATCGGCAGCCCGTTGGGCCCGATCTCACGCCAGGCAGCCGCCATTGGTCATAAAATTGGCGGAGCCCGTATCTAGATCAACAAAGTCCGCCTCATCGTCCGGCAGATGCGAGAGCAGATCGCTGGGAAAGCAATTGTTCTTCATCACCAGCAGCTGCTCGTCCTCGTAGCAGGGCGTCATGATTCCGCCCACGGCATGGGGCAGCCCATTGTGAAAGTCCATCAAATGGTGATTGTTGTTGTTGTGGGCGGCCAGGCTGGCCACGCTGGTCATGTTGTTCAGGCTTGTGGGATGCACGCTCACGGCGTGCTTGATGTCCGGAAAACCGTCCGGTTCGAACAGGAAGCGCTGGGCGCTCAGCGCCGTTATATACGGGCCCTGCGAGTCGACCAGCTCATTCTTTACAAACTCTATGGCGCTGGTGGGCGTGGTTGCGGGCGGTAGCGTTGTTACGGCCGTTGCTGCTGTGGCACTGTTGTTGCTGCCGCTGTTGTTGTTGCTGTTGTTGCTGCTGCTGTTGCTGCTAAGACTGCTATTGCTGCTGGTGCTGTTGGTGGGCGTGGTGATGGCTACGGCGACGGCGGACAGACCCAGCCCCAGACTCAAGCCCTCACAATTGGGCACATAGTCGGAGACCTGCTGGCTGACCACCAGGCTGTCGGCATTGCTGCTGCTGTTGCTGGCGGGATTGAGAGAGACTTGCTGCTGCTGCTGCAACTGTTGCTGCTGCTGCTGGGGCAGGCAGAGCGCCTCCTGTGTGGGTGAGCTCAAGTAGCCAGCATGCTCGAACTCCTGCGGCGAGGGCGAGGGCTTACAGTAGCCATTCGGCAACTGTTGCTGCTGCTGCTGCTGCTGTTGCTGCAACTGTTGCGCCTGCGCAGCGGCGACTGCAGCCATGGCTGCTGGCGTTTTGCTGTTGAACTTGAACGTCGACATGGATGGTATGCTCTGCATGCGCTGCTGCTGCTGCTGCTGCTGCTGTTGCTGCTGCTGTTGCTGCTGCTGTTGGGTGGGCGTGTTGGCCGTGCTGCTGGTGCCGCTGTTGCTGCTGTTGCTGCTGCTGCTGCTGCTGTTCGCATCGCCATTGAGCAGGCCATCCAGCTTCAGCTCGGCGAGGTACTTGTAGGCCGGCGACTGCAGCAGCTTCGCGGGCAGCTGCCAGCCGCCGCGCTTCACGCAGCCCGGCGTATGCAGATTGAGCATGCCGAGCAGGCGCTGGCGGTCCGTTTCGAGGGCGCGCACCTGGTTCTTGAGGTCCACGTTCTGGGTGTCCAGCTGCTCGGACTCCTTGATCAGATTCTGGGTGCGTTCGCGCTTCTTCATGCGGCACTTGGTGGCAGCGATTTTGTTGCGTTCGCGTCGTCGCCGCCGTCGGTCCTCGTCCTCGGGCGTTAGGCCCTTGGGCACCGATTTCGTTTCGCTGTCCTCATCGCTGGACTCCTCGCAGTCCTCGTCGCGGCGCGAACACTTCGAGTTGGGCTGCTCGGAGCCGGAGCTGGAGTCACAGGTGGACAGCTTGCGTTTGCTTTGAATGGACAGCTTCAGGCCGGCTTTGATTAGCTGCGAGCAGGTCTACAAGAGAGAGAGAGAGAGACAGAGAGAGAGAGAGACGATTAGTCAAGGTCCTACAAAAGTTGTTTGTCACCAATAGCCAAGTTGGCCGCTGCCTCCCATGTGGCATGTGGCATGTGGCAGCCGCGTTGCACAAGTCAACGAGCCGCGAGCCGCGAGAAGTTGTTTGCGTCGCTCAATTCCAATTCGGGAAATGACGTGCTGACATTTCGACTGACCCATTTGGCCAGCGAACTAACCAAGTTCAACCAGATCTCACTTGAGAGATCGTTACCCCCCCTCGCTTCAGCTCTTCTACTCGCATGACAAATCAACGAAATTCGCATTCCTGGGCTGGGCCTGGGCCTGGGGTCGGTGCCAGGGTTTTTGGGTTTTTTTTTTTTTTGGGCAGATTATCTTTGCGGCATTTGTTTTGTTTACTTTTGTGATTTACTTGCGGCTGCTCGCGCATAAATTTAAGCAAATATTAAAGTGAAAGATAGAAATCGCATTTTGTTAACGTTGCCACGCCCGGTGCCCCAACTGGCGAGGGCAGGGCGGAAGGGGAGATGCAGCCTACTGCAACAAGGCCAGAACAGGTCTGCTGGCCCTCCACACTCTGCGCCGCTTCCCTCACCGCCAGCCCTCCAGAGGTGGGTGGGCAACGTGTCAGCGCCTTTTAGGGAGCTTCAGCAGCTGAAGACAACAAACAACAGATGGTCATCACGTCGACACGTTGTCAACTTTCATTTGCAAGAAAAAAGGGCCCCGGAGAGGTTGAAAGCGAAGATTGAATGTGGATTGAAGCGATATTGAAAGCGGAGATGCAAATTGCAGCTGACATTGAAGTGACGAAAAAGGAAGACGCCTACACGATGAGAAACAAAACAATCGAAAGACTTTCAACTGATTGAAATTGAAAGGGACAATCGAAATTGAAGTAGAAGTAGAAATGTAAAGATTTGTATGCTCTAGATTTGTATGCAAATCAAATAAATGGAAAACATAGCATAGATTGATTGTGATTGAAGTGATATTGAAAGGTAAATTTAAAGTGAAGATAGCAGTGAAATGACAAAAGCGAAGTATACCAATACATATTGCCTAAGTTTAGCCGAGTTGAACGAAAAGCATTAAGATTGAAAGGGTAGATTGAAAGTGATTGACGTAATATGGAAAGGGAATATAATATTGAACGACTAGAAATATATATTATCCTATCAGCACACATAAAAAGGTCAGAGCCAACTATAGCACTATAATTGAAATTGAAAGTAGAGTTGAAAAGGAAAATTACATTAAAATTTAGTCTTAGCTTTGGAAATTCCAACAGATTCTGAAATTCTGCATAGCAGCTCATCAATAATCCCTCCAGATTGAAACAGATTGAAAGCTAAGCAAGGGGAAGAGAAATTGAGAGAGAAATTCAAGTCAAAAGATCAAATGCATTGAGGCAAGATCACAATGATGTCTAGGCATTTCAGAATTGAATTGAAGCGCTGATTGAACACGCTGATTGAAGGCATACAGTCGCCTTACTGTGGTTTTCCATAGTCTTGTCTCGGGGCTCGGCTCTCCTTCGCACTCGGCTGTGCTGGGCTGTCAGGGCCCCGGCCTTTCAGGCAGCCCACTTCAATCTGCAGCTCAATGACAGCTCATTCAAGTGCCAGACAAGCCCCGACTACCGCCGGCTGCCCATCATTATCATCGTTGCGATTATCATCAGCATGAGTTTTGCGCTTTTTTATTTGTTGTCTGCTTGAGAAATTGTTCAGATGCCACTGTCGAGGCGACAGGCCCAACCGAGCTGCCCTCCACACTCCCCCGCCCGCCAACATCTCTGCCCTAGACGCTGCCCAGCCCCTTTTTGGCCAGCATTGTTTCATTTAAATTTTAGGCACGCTGCCTTTTTATTTATTGACCCAAAAACCAGATAAATAAATTTTATTTCAACCCAAAAAAAGAGAAAAAAAAGAAGCAAAAAAACAGAGTGGAAAATATCATAATAATCGCATGCGCCAATGGCTGCGATGCCGACGTCGACTGCGACTGCGACTGCGACAGCGACAGCGATTGCTACTGTGAATGCGACTTCGACCGCCCGGCGACCATATGGTCAGAAACAAAAAAAAAAAAAGATTTCATTGCCTTCAACTCGACTTGGCAGACTTCTCGAAAATTGGTGCGTTGTTGTGCAACAGTCTCTGTGTATGTGTGTGTGTGTGTGTGTGCGTGTGTGTGTCTGCTAGTTGTCAGGGCATTCCAAATGGTCGGCGTGTGGGGCCAGCGGCTGTAATTGGAGCAACGAAGCAGCGCAAAGAAACTGAAATGGGTGGGAGGAAGCAATGGGAAATGCAATTCCAGAGATGCCACAAATATATTGATATAGACACACATTCATACAGTCATCTATCTATGTATCTTTTCGTATACTCATCTAGATCCGCATCTAGATATGAGCCATGAGCTTGAGCAGCCGCAGTTGAATGGAAATTCTTGTGGGTCAAGCACTGAGCAGTAAAACTTGAATGAAGCAAACAGAAGTTTAGAGATAAACCTGATCTTAATGGGCACAGGGCTGGCCAACTGTCTAGAGACACTTTAAAATGTGTTAAGAAACAGACTTGCTAAAGAAGCAGAGATAAGTTCAGTGATTGGGATGAGAACCAGGCAAGGAAACTTTTACTTGAAGAGAGTAGAAGAGTAATACGACTGATAGGGCAGGAGGAGAAGAATGTGGGAAGGACGGTGGGAAAGGAAAGAACAGAGTGCGAAAAGGATGTAGAAAGGCAAGGAAGTGAAAGGCTAACAGGAAAAGCGCATGGTAGTAAGGGAAACGTAGATGTGCAAAAGAAGAAGAGAATTAAATGAGAATGTACTGGAAGAGAAGCACAGGAGAGAAAAGGGACGAATGGGAATGAAAGAGAAACACAGAGGGAATGAATTGAAGAAAGTTGAATAGAAGAAAAGGAAGAAAGAAAAAGAAATGGAAGAGGCGAGAAATTATAGGAGTATGAGAGAAAATAGAGAAGGATAAGAAGCAAAAGAAATGAGAGAGTATGGAGAAGGACACGATAGGGGAGTATGAAAAGGAAGCAATGAAGAGGAAAAAAAGAAAAGAAAAGATATAAAAGTAACGACAAAAGAGAGTAGAAGAAAAAGTAGAAGATAGACAGAGACAGATAGATAGATAGATAGGGAAAAAGGGCATCGAATTGAGACAGACAAAATCTCTGTCAAGCCAAAGCCTAGCCAGCGCCCAAAACAATTCCAGAATCGGAGTGGCACAGTTCACCGTTCTAGCTCCATGAATCACCGCGAGTCGAGCTCCACCAATGGCTTACATATTATTTGTGCTTTCAGTTGCTTCGTTTATGGTTCAAGGCAAGGCGCATAAATTCAAATTCAGGGTTCGAACTGTAACGCTTAGTGGGCTAATGGCAGTGGCGATGGCATTAAGATACTACTATTAGCAAGACCGAATCGTGTTTGCAGTTTAACGAGTGCGACGAGCGCCAGCAGAGGGGGGGCGAGCGAGACAGAGATATGCATATTATATATCATATATACATACGTATGTTCACCTTTTATAGGCATTTGCCCAAGCCTTTCTTTGCGCTACGTTTTGCTGCACTTCGCGCGTACAAAATGTATCTTTTGGCAATATGTATCTGTATCTGTATCTACAAACGTAGCTGTAGCTGTAGCTGTATGCGTGCTGCGTGATGTTTGTCGAGCAGCGCCCAAAAAAAAACAAACAAACTTAAATTTCGCACGAATCACCTCGCAAATTTGCACTTTTATTTGGCTCCGCATTTTGTTTGTTTGCCACATACTTTTTCCTCTTCTTCTTCTGCTTTTATAATCTTTTATTTGTTTAAACGAAGAGAGAGAGGGAGAGAGAGGGAAAGATAACCTTTTAGGTGTTGGCCAAAAAGCTGAGTTGAGCGGACTCGAACGGAATATTCTCCGTAAAAAGGGGAACAGCAATCGCAATTGGAACCAGAATCGGAACTGGAGCTGGAACTGAAATCAAGTGAGAAACTGGAACACCAACAGCAACTGGAAACTGATTCGAAATTAACTAGCCTAATAGGGTAATGGGCTCAGAATCCAAATCGTAGCGCAGCGGAACTGGAACCAGTGCAAAAAATGCAAATGGAACTGTTAAGCTGAATCAAATCTGACAAGCTTAAGCAGCTTAAGTTCAAAATGGGAACAAAATTGAGACTTGAATCGGAACTAGAGCTGGAACTAAAATGGGAGCTGGACTCGGAACTTGAAACAGAGTGGAAAGTGAAACGAGAATATAGAAAAACTAAATTAATATAGAACAAACTAAATTAAACAGAAATTGAATCGGAACCGGAACTGGAACTGGAACTGGAACTGGAGCCGGAACTAGAACTGTAATTGAAATTGAAGTGAGAAACAGAAGCTGAACTGGGACAGAAACTCTATTTGAAACACCACACAGAATGAATCGGAACTGATGCTGGAGCGGAACTACTTTGAGCTACCTTGACTATATATGGACAATCGAAATATCTTTAGACAGACAACTATAGCTAGGCAAACACCCACAAGTTCCGCAAATGAACTTGACCATATTCCCACTGCCCTCTTCCAGCCAGAGTATCCATGGTGCGGCTTGACTCAATTAGCGGCTGCCTCTCATATAGACTTTATATATTCTTTCTACATATTTCTTATGTACAATTTTTCGACATTTCAATATTTGCCACTTTTATAACTTTTTTCTCCCATACATATATATTTTATTTATTTATTTTTTTGCATTTATGAGAAATGTGCAAAAAAAAAAAAAAAAAAAAGAAAAAACATTTTTAACATTTGTGCAAATATTTGCGAAAACGAACAAGAAGAAGCAGCGCCAGCTAAAAGTGCAATAAAAATTGTTGCGATTGGCAACAGCGAAAACTTTTCCAGCTTGTGTGTGTGTGTGTGTGTGTTGGTTGTGCATTTTGTAATTTATGTGAAATTTGTTAGAAAACAAATTGAAAAGTGTTTAAAATTTTATTTGTAATATTTTGCACTTGGGTCTGGCGGCAGTTCAATGCCTATAAATTCGCTTGAAGCAATAATCATAAATCACACAGAGAGAGAGAGAGAGAGAGAGAGAGAGAGAGAGAGAGAGAGAGAGATAGGCAATTAGAGATATGCTATTGTATTTGCATATCGAGTGTTGATGCGCCCGGGAGCTGTCGCTGTGTGCGCTCGAATGCCATTTAATTGCCGCGTGGCAAATGCAATTCATATGCAATAATCGCACTTGCCAACTGGGTACGCTCAGCCACGCCCCCTCACCTGGCCGCGAGCAAGGCGCGCGGCTCATTAAGGCCAATGTCAGCCTAAGTGATTCTGTGCATCCACACACCAGCATCGCAATAGATACAGATACATTGCCAGAGATACAGATACAGCTATACAGATACAGCTATACAGCCATGCAGCTATAGATGAGCTTATTCAATTTCTGGCATACAAAAGTGAAATCAATTCTGGCTGCGCTTTGCAATTGGAAGCGTCAACGGCAGACGCCCACGAGCTGCCTGTCATAAGCCCGCCTGACCCAAGCCAAGCGTCAGCTCGACCAAGTGACTAAGCGACGCAACGCTTCGCATTGCCCCGATTGACTGGCCCGCCTTCAAGCCGGATTGAATGGCTGCGGGGGCGAAGACGATGGTGGTGGCGGTGGCGGTGGCGTACTTGTGGGCGGATGCCGGCCAATGTCCGGAGCCGGTGCAGCAACTGGCGGCGTTCGGCGGCACGGTGCGTGGGCATTTGGCAGATTTTTGTGTCGTGCGGCGCGTGGGCGACAAATAAAATGCAATTCGGACGCCGTCTGAATGGGCAACACGCAAATGTTGAACAATCTGGTTGATTGTTGCCAGATTGAAAGCGAAATCGAATTGAATTGCATCAATTGTTGACAAATTGCAAGTAAACAGTGCAGCTGGAAATGGGCCAAAACGTGCCTGCACGTCTATCGATTGAAATTGAAAGTGCATGGCGAAATTGAAATCGAAATTGAAAGAGAACTTGAAGAGTATTACAATGCATGGAGAGCACATTGAGTATTTCATATCGCTTGTAACGGACAACTAATGGAACAAGAGTTTAGCTAAAGGCCACGATCAATCATTAAGACTTGGGCAATTTTAAAAATAATTGATTGAAAATTGAATTGTAGGTTCAGTTTGAATGGAAATGGAAAATTCTGGGAGATTGTACAGGCCTAATGAATGAAGAAAACACTAAGTGCACATTGAAAATGCAATTGAAAACGATTGAAGTATTCAATTCAGCAAAATTGAATGTCAAATTGAAGTCAAATTGAAGTTAGATTGAAGAGATCGCTAATCCGATTACGTCATGCATAGAACCTATTAAAAGATAAGAATGTAGCTACAATTTCTTTATAAGAGCCAGATTGAAGCTAATTTCGATTGAATACGAAGAGCAGCAGTGCAATGAAATAATTGAAGGACTAGACAGAGCCTATTGAAAGAAATGATGGGTGACTAGAAGCTCTACAAAAATGCCAACTTGAAGCTAAATTTGATTAAATGCGAAACACCACAAGGAAAAGTTGAAATCTTTAGAAATTGAAATTGAATTCGAATTGAAGTTGAATTTGAGCCCAAAAACAAAGCGAAACAAGTTCAATCAAAGAATTTCCCATGCCCTAGACTAGTTGTAATTCATATTCGCTCCGCCCACTTACCTGTTGCACACTGGGCGTGGTCGCAGCGCCCGCTGGCGAGTCGAGCGGCGATGCCGAGCAACTGGAATGACTGCTATCCTGCGAGTGCGACTGCAAGAGGAGAGAGAGAGAGAGGAATTAGTTGAAGCTTCTGAGGCTGGCTGGACTGGGGAAGCGAGACGCACCTGTCCGTTGGCGTTGCCGCACAAGTTGCGTATGGAGACAAAGGGCCCGGACACCTGGCTGCAGTTGTTCGACACGTTGAAGTTGAAGTTGTCCAGGGGATTTGTCATCGCGATCACCGAATTGAGAATCTCTGGCGTTTTGGGCGTGTGGGCGCCCGGGCCGCTGCCCTCGATGCTCAGCAGCGCCGCGGCCGGTATATTGGAGTTGAACATGGTCTTGTTTTGGATATCAACACACGATAATAATAATAATACGATTTATTATTAAAAAAAAAAAAAATAAAGCAAATAAAAAAACGAATTGAGAAAATATTTTTAAAAATTAACACGTAACTCGTTTTTCTTTTTCTTTTTAATTTGCTGCTGACTTTTTTTTAATTATTATTTTTGTATTTATTTTTAATGTGTGTAGAACTTTAGTTATTTTTTTAAGCTTTTGTTGGTTTGTTGCTGCTTTGTTTTTTATTTGTATTTGTATTTATTTTTTTTTATTTGTAAATCACAGTTGAAGGCCTACGCGTTGCATTTGTTGGACTGCTTTTTGTTGTTAATTAAATATTTATTGTTTGATTTATATATAGTTAATAGTATAAATATTGTTTTTTATTTTTTGTTTTTGTTTTTACTGTTGTATATGCGTTTGTATAAATATAGATATATATATTTATGTATTTATATATATATTTTATTTTTTATTTTTTGTATAAGTATATAAATGTTTTTTATTTTTATTTTATCAATTTTGTTCTTCTTAAATTTTGGACACTCGCGTCTGCTGTTGCTGCTGCTTCTTCTTGTTTGTTTGTTGTTGTTGTTGTTGTAGTTGTTGCTGTTGTCTCTCTCGTTTATCACAAATTGTTGTTAATAAAATGTTTTTGCTTTTTAGCTGACTTGTTTGATTGTTGCTGTGCAAATATTGTTGTTGCCGTTGTTGTTGTCACTTTTGTTGTTGTTGTTGTAGTTGTTGTCGCTGCCGCTGCTGCCGTTGCCGCTGCGTCGCGACGCGGTTCCATCGGCGCTTCCAGCGTGTGTTGCTCACAGCGTTGTATTCAACTGAATGTTTTGGCCACCGGCAAAAGTCGACTTCCACATCCACATCCACAATATCAGCGACATCCGAGACAGCAGCCGACGACCAGCACGAATCGCGCACGCTCGCTCTAAACAGTCCAAGAGAGCGAGCGAGAGAGAGAGAGAGAGAGAGAGCAAGAACGTGAGCGTGTGAGCGGGCGTCGCAGCAGTCGAGAAAGAGAAAAACACAGAGAGGGAGAGAGAGAGAGAGAGAGAACATTAGTGAGTGAGTGAGTGATACGGCTGGAGCAGCGTGTGAGAATTAAAATATCATAAAAAAAAAAACAAGTCACAAAGCGCGCTCGTCAAGAAACAAGTGTGCTCCAGACTTCAGAACTGATCGACTTGAATATACCCTGTAATCAATTTATAAATTTTTCCTAAACATGCTAATTTATATGATTTACAAGGCAAATATTATTAAATCTCTCTGTCGAGTGACTCGGTAAGACTCAAATGCACGACCTTAAGATACCCTAGTTTCAGTTTAGCTACGCTAATTGCTGTAAATCAATTACCTCCCATTGCAGCTGCTAGAAAAGTAATAAAACTTGACTTATTTATACCCTAGAATGACAATCTCTGATTGAGCAGCAATATGAAACGACTTAAAGATACCCTACAATTGTTTTTGAAACAACATTAAGTGGGGTACTCAATAAAAACACATTGAAAATGATTAAATTATAACGGAACAACAAAATGGAAGCAAAAAAGTAAAGCATCTTAAGCCTGATCGACTACTGATACCCTCTAAACTGTGCACAAACAGATTTATGAAATTATCACAAAGCAGCTGAAATTAGTCTAAGTTATGCTTAGCTACATCTTCAACATCTCGGCATACCCCATCGATGCCACTTTACAGGGTATACGAAAACAATTAAATTATAAAATAAGCGCAAGTAAATTGATTTATGTAAGCGCCGAGCAGCTGACAGCGAACAGAACCGACTGACCGACTGACCGATTGATTGACTGACCGACTGATCGACTGATCGACTCGACTGTCTGATTGAACAGCTCAATGCTATGCGCATTACTGTAGTTCGATTCGCTGTGCGTAGCTTAGTTAGCCACGTTAATGTCTCAATTAAGCGGCTTAATCGTTTAATTGAGTGCAGAATGCAGTTGCCTGATAGCCAAAGGCCGAGGATCTCCAATTGATCGGTCAATCAAAGTTGAAGGTGAAATGCAAACAAACAAACGAACGAACAACAACAGCAGCAACAACAACAACAACAACAACAAGTGAAACTACAGTAAATATTGCAAATATTTCAGCTATGCAATAGGTCAATTGAGACTCAGCCGTAGCAGACTCGGGAATGCAGAGCCCAAAAGCGTTTCTGATAAATCATCTTCAGTTTTGTATTGAGGCACAGCGTTGCCACCTGGCCTACAAAATAATCGAAACAGTTATGAAGGTTCCTTATGGGGATTTGTTAGGATAGTTTTAAGAGTAAGTTTTTACTGAAGCTCATAGACCAATTGAATGCAGATCTCAATGCACAGCGTTGCCACCTGGCATACAAGTTAACCGAAGAGTTATACAAATTCCTTATGGGGATTTGTCAGAATAGTCTTAAAAGTAAGTTTTTGCTAAAGTTCAAAGACAAATCGAAAGCAGATCTCAATGCACAGCGTTGCCACTTGGCACAAAAAAGAGATTTACCCTCTAAACAAACATGATTGCACTTGCATATGAGGATTTGTTAGGATAGTTTCAACAGTAAGTTTTTACTGAAGCTCAAAGACAAATCGAATGCAGATCTCAATGCATAGCGTTGCCACCTGGCATATAAATTACCAAAGAGTTATAAAGATTCCTTATGGGGATTAGTTAGGATAGTTTCAACGGTAGGTTTTTACTGAAGCTCAAAGACAAATCGAATGGAGATCTCAATGTACAGCGTTGCCACCTGGCATACAAATTACCGAAGAGTTATAAAAATTCCTTATGGTGATTAGTTAGGATAGTTTCAACAGTAAGTTTTTACTGAAGTTCAAAGACAAATCGAATGGAGATCTCAATGTACAGCGTTGCCACCTGGCACAAAAATGAAATTTATCCTCCAAACAAACATGATTGCACTTATCAACATGTACATATGCATACTATTATGTAGATTTCTAGAATATAGACATTTTTACCAGCGCAGCGTTGCCACCTCTTATACATATTCTTCAGTAAGTTTTGTATGTGCGCACATTTCCAACACAAATTAAATTAGATTCGAGCGCAGCCAACTAACCGAGCCACTTAACGACTTTGCTTTTATGGCTGACAGCGTTGCCACCTGGGCGAGCAAACGCTGCAGCGTTTTATTAGTTAATTTTCAGTTCACTCAGCGCTCAGTGAGTGAGGTTCTCGTTTGATTTCGTAAAGTTTTTATTTTTTATGGCAATTTGTTGCCCTTTTTCGTTGTGTGTGTGTGTGTGTACGTCTGTGTGCGTGTGTGTGCTTTGTTTTAATGGTCCGCGCGCTTTGAGGTTTTTCAAGGAATTGAGTTATGTGCTCGAAATTGTGTGGAATGCCCCCAGCCGGAGATTAGGTTAAGCAGCGAAACTGGACTAATGATGCTTTTTTCTTTCTATACTCGAGTGCCCTACCTCCCCCTCCCTCTCTCTCTCCCTCTCTCTCTCTCTCTCTCTCTGTGTGTTTGTGTGCCTCCCCCTTAATTTCAAACGAAATGCAAATTGCGGCACGCTGTCAATCTTAAAAGCGAACCAACCCCCCCAGCTGCCAGCAGCGAGAGAGCGCAGCCCTTCCCCCCTTCTTCCCGCCACTCTCGCCGCAGCCCCCCCCTTAGCCGTTGGCTGTTATGGCTTTTGCCATTTCTATTATTGCCTTTTGGGCCATTTATCATTTTGGCAAGAATGTTTGCTGCTGCGGATGCCACGGCGAAGCACCCCGACACCGACCTCCTCTCCTTCCTCGCTCCCCTTCCATGCAAGCACTTTTAGTGCCACTTTTATGTGCCTCACACACATACACACACACACACATGCGCTCACGCACACTTGTGTAAATTGAAAGTCAGTCAAAAATAAAATTTTTCAAACACAAAAAAAAAAAAACTAAAATAAAATAAAAAAAAACAACAAAAAGTCAGAATAAAGAATTATGATTTATGACTTTCGCATGTTTTGCTGTTTGTATACGACTCAAGTGTGTATGCATGTGTGTGTGTGTGTGTGTGCGTATATGATTTAGCTTTTGTTCTCTGCTGGCTATTTGTTTGAAAAGCTTTGAAAGCCTTTGCCTTTGATGTGCATTTGCAAGCTGTTGAAACGCAAATCACTTTTGACATTCGCTGTTGCGGTTTCGATTTCGAACTCGATTTCGAACTCGATTTCGATTTCGATTCTGGCTATTTTGACCAAATGCAATACAGGTGTGCCCCCCCCCCCCCCCCCCCTCGCTGCGCTTTTTGGCCAACTGCCCAGGCAGCTGTGCTGAGGTCTTGATTTTGAGGTCACGGCTGGAGCTGGCTGCACATTGCGCATACGCCGCGTTCGCCGTCAGCCAGTGACATGCGCAAACAGTTGACAATCGGCAGAGACGCGACTCAAGTGATTGCCAATCGATAAGCACGCATCGCAGAAGCAGCTGGCAAACGGCCCAGCACCCAGCTCCCAGTAGGGCGCGTACAGCCACTCGTAGTTGGCTTTAAGTTTTTGTTGTTGTTCATTTATATTCATAGATACTGTATGTACATATATGCACACATGTGCATATCTTTTCGTATATCGTATATAGCGTTTTTTGTCTGCTTAGCTATTAACATTCCGCAGCGGGTTTTTTGTTTCGTTTCGTTTCGTTTCGTTTTGTTTTTGTCGCCTTGTCGAACTTGTTGATTCGCTGGCATTTCTCGATTGCTCTCAAGTGTGCGAAATTGTTAGCGCGTTCGATTGGAAATGCTAAGATCGCAGCAAGTGCAGCGCCGCATGTGCATGTGCATTGAGCTAATCAGTTAATCGATTATCGGTTGATATCGATAGACTATCTGTCGATGGGCAATTTAAAAATGCGACTCACTGTGATGTGTGCTAGATGCGTTGCATTTCATAAGTCAACTAAGTGTTAAGTCCTAGTGTACATTAATCGATATCTAACTATCGATAGTCAAAGATTTTTACTTTGATTA